CGGTGCAACAAACCGGTTGAACTGAACAACAACCAAAATATGGCTTTGTGGATGGCAATTGGCAAAAATGTTGTTTCCAATTTCAATTGCTGTAGAGTGGACATTGCTAGGACTTTTTTTCCTCTCTTTTGAAAGCTTATAGACTTTAAAAATACTTTTTTGGTTTCAAATTAATCATCCTTTTTTTGTTGTACCAAAAATATTTTTCATTCCTTCAAAGTAATGAAATAAATGGTGCATATAAATTTTTCTCCAAAAATCTCAACTAAATAATTTTATTTTTTTGAAATTATATGAAAAATCAAGAAGATTAATTTAAGATGGAATGAGTAGTAAAATGCACATCCCATTTACCACTTTGGGCAAGATAACGGCGACATTGGCTTTAAAATATGGATGGGATGACAATAAGACATTAACTTTAATTGGGACACATATAGTTTCATTCATAAATTTAATGATTCCTATCCACTTACCTTTCGGTAAATATTTCAACTCCGGCTTCACCCAAACTAAATTTTGGAGGTGCAATTATAGGAGGTGAGTGGGTTTGGCTTGGGTCGAAGTTGATGTGTTAACCAGGAGTTATGAAAGACAAGAACTATCAATTTTTTGAATCAGACACCACAAATGTGAGAGCCAATGTCATCCCATAACAATAAAATTCAATGAAATGACAATCGAGGTTTTAGCACTTCACCCTTCATTTTTACCATATCATCCCATCCAACCTTGTCTTTACTCCTCTCCCCCTTCTATGGCATTGCCGAAGTCTCACTTCCACTCATATTCTTATATTCTAATTGGAAATTTAAAAAGAAAATAATGGGTTTATAACTTTTTCAGTTAAATTAGTAACTGATTGAATTCAGTTTTTTTAATGTAATAGTTTCACCTAAATGTCTTATGTTCCAGTCTAATGATCTCTGACACATTCTAAATTCTATCATAATATCGAAGTCAGGTTCACCCATGAATCTTTAGTCCAATGAGTTAAACTAGTAATTGATTGAATTTAATTTTTTAATGTAGTATTGACTAAATATCCCATGCTAACATTCCCTACCCATCCTAAATTTGGTAAACAATTCTGCTACTTGCACAACGCTTGGTGTACACTAAGTTGTACACCCATACTTTACACTGACACACTGGTAAAAAATATCATTGTGAAATTTTATAATCTCACTTGCTTTTACGGAGTAATTAATAATTACAACTTACCTAGATTCACAAACATAACATACATTTATTAAACATCCATTCTAAACCTCATTTCATCCCCTAAAAATCTATTCCTCTGTTTTTGTATATTTGTCTAATTTGACTATATCGAGTCAAATTGGACATATTTTGAGTTTCAATTACTTTCAACTTGTATTGCATATAAATATAACGAACTAAAATTTTGAAAAATCTCAACAAGAAAAATCTAATAAAATCATTTTCATATTAGTATACATTACAACTTTGAAGTTCAAAGTTTATTGTATTGGACTTGAAAAGGTCAAATTGGACAAATATATTGTAAAAGAGGGAGTAAATTTTAGTCTTATAAAAAATTAAATGGTTATAGTATACTCTAATTAAAAAGTAAATTTATTTTGGTCTCTAATATTTTAAATAACTTTTTCATTGGATTGTTTATATTTTAATTAATTCATATTTTTAGTTTAAGTTATGTATTTAAAAAAAATGGTTGTAGTAAATTGGTGAATTGACATATGTACAACTCCACTTATATTAAGAAAATTGTATTAAATGATGTCTTTTTTATCTACGATTATTATTATTCTTGTTAGTATTATTATAATTACTATTATTATTACATTGTATTATTGTTGTTGTTGTTGTTGTTATTTTTATATTCATTACTATTATTTCTATTTTTCCAATTATATTTATATATTTTTGATTTATATTTCTATTTTTTGAAGCTTCCCCACTTTTTGATTATTATTATTATTATTCTTGTTAGTATTATTATAATAACTATTATTATTACACTATTTTTCAATTTATATTTCTATTTTTTTCGAAGCTTCCCCATTGATCGCTGTTATGTCATTTTTCTTTCTCAATTCATGGGCCGAATTGTAAAAAGAACATAACGCATATCAGCCAGTAGTACGCTGAATAGTGTGTTGTGGCGCTGTTTTGTCATTTTTTTTCCCTTTATTTTTATTTATTTCCTTCTTTACTTCAAATCGCTTCCCCTTATTTTCGTCTCAAACCTCCATGTTTATTTTCCGTTCTTGCAATTACCCTCATTGCGTCCAAATGATATCAAAATACGTGCATAACATATAAAACCAAGCATATGATCGCACTACAAAAATAAAACGGAAAGTTAGATTAAAATGTAAATATTAAATTCAATTGGGACTCAAACTACTTCAAAATATGCCTAAAAAGTGTATAAAATTTGTGCATATCACCAATGCCTCTTTAGTCTTAAATACCTTCAAATCATAGCTAAATATCTCGGCTTCCCTCTGTGGTTTAGGAAATGGACACCAACGCCCCCTCTCTTTTCCTTTTTTGTTTTCCTTTTTTTCTCTTTTTTTCATAAATTTTTTAAGTTCTTTTTTAAAACTTATGTTTTTTGAAGTTTTAATAATAAAAAATTATGTTTGAAGTAAAAATTAGTTAAATAAAAAGAATTAACGTACACTTCAATTGTCTCAAATTAATCATTTTCATTTTTCATCCAAAATAGATCCTTCTTGGTTCATTTTTCATTATACAAAAATCCATAAAATATTTTCTCTTTTTTTTATTGAAGCTCATTTCCCATTTTCTGTTCATTTTCTAGTTTCTTTTATTTCTATTTTTATTTTAAAAAAAATTATTTTATAAAGTTTCTTTTATTTTAATCAAAATTAAAATAAAAGAATAGAAAAGAAAATGAAGAAAAAGAAAAGCACGTGATAAACTAATTTTATAGAATAAGAAAAATTAAATCATGAAAGAAATATGTTGTGCATCAATCAAAAAATGTTATGAATATATAATTAGTTAAAGGTAAAAAAGAACTTCCTCTGTATTTTTTGGTTTCAACATATTCAAAAAATAAGAAATTTTTTCAGACAAACAATAAAAAAAATTAATTTGATACGAATGAAAGACATATAATGTTTTAAAAAAGATTTTTAAAAAATATTTGACTTTTTTTCATCATTTCAAAAACAAACATTTTTCTTTTTTATGAAAAAAAAAGAGAAGAAAAAAAGCAAAACACAATAAAGAAAGAAGGGGAAGGCATGTTGATGTCAGTTCCCAAACTCATAGAGGGCATGTGAGCAATTTATTTAATCTTTGAAAAATAGTTTAGATGAGGATTGGCGTAAGAATATCATAAGTATGATGTAGGTTAAAGATATGTTCTCTTCAACTTACCTTTATTGCTTATTATTATTTTTATTGGAATCAGATCAGATATAGTTTTAAATATAATTAAATTAAAATCAGATGAGACTAAATTAAATCAAAATTTATTTCAATCAGATCAGAATCAAAAAAATCACATCAAGAGAACATGGCCTTAAGGGAGTGTAAAAGTTGGGTTGACTTTCCCAAAATGCCCCTCCCCCTGGACCGAAACATGCTTAATAGGAACAAAAATCATTGCCCTTCGTTCTTGATGTTTTCTTCTTTCACGGAGGCATGATTCTTGAATCAACATCCGGTTCTAAAAAAATTAAAAAATCAAAATAGCAACTACACAAATTTAAATAAAATGAATGATGAAATTGCTTCCTCTTCAAGTGCATTGAGCAAGTGTCTTGCAGCAACAACATCACCCTTATGCTCTTGCAGTTTCTAATTGCTTCGTTTCCAGCCTCCATTTTTTCTGCTCTCTTCTACTGCTCAATATCGCTGCCACTGGGTTTTCAAACAAAAGATTAGATCTATGTTTTGAGGAAGAGAAACAATTAGATCTAGAGATTAAAATAGAGAGAAGAAGATTGGATCTAGATTTTGAGGGGGTGGGGGGAGCCCAAGAGAGACGGAGAGGGTTATGTTTAGATTTCGTGATTTCGAGAGGGAGAGAAGAGAGATGGAGATGGAGGAAAGCCGGAGATATTGCGAAGGAGAGGGATGCGACTTGAGAGACGAAGATAACGTATGGTAGGAGAGGGATGAGAAGCAGGTTGAGAGAGATGAGAGAGGGGTAAAATAGTCCATTCGTACTTTTTTTAAGAAATGGGAAGATAGTTTTAGGACGGAGAAAAAGGGGAAGTGGGAAGATAGTTTTAGGACGGAGGAAGTACTTAATAATATCCAGTGATGGTGAATATTTACTTGGATAATGACTAATGGATAATGACTAAAATTGCTATATTGGAATAAATTTATATCATACAGAGTATAATATTATTTAAGAAAAGTCATCATCTTGTAGTGTGATTTAACCTATATCAAAAATAGTCTTTTATTGTTGTTAGGCTCGTAGAAATAAGGCTATAAGCTCGTTTTTACTCCGTATGATTTTAACGCAAGATCAGAAAAAAAGAGCAAAAGTTAGAAAGAGAAACAGGGACGAGGTATTGTCTGGTAACTATTGGGCAACTACCTAACCCCGGAAGAACATCATCGTCCCAATCCTTTTCGGGCTTTTGTTTCTTCCTTATTTTCCCCAAATCTTTTTAAAATAAAAAAAAACATCCATTGATCATCATATCCCACACTCAGCTGAAACAAAAGTCCCAATTTTTGTTGTGTTAATCCTTGCAATATATTGTTTCTTCCTTCAATTTTCAGACATGAATAACATGCGTATATGCACATATATGCATATATGTACATACATTACATTTATATTGTTAGATACAGAGTAATAAATTAGGATATATTGTATACTTGTATAGTTTCTGATATATTTATCTTGGCAATTATATTCCAACTCTCCATCTCCATTTCGTCCTCCATTGGTAACAATGTAAAGTTCCTGTCTTTATCATTTTTCTTCTCTTCATGTTTTTTTCTCAGTTTTCTTTAATTATGATTTATTTGTTGGGGGCAATGCAGCGAAAAGACGGAATCGGGAGCATGAATTCAAAGGAATTGTAACGCTGCGTGATCTGGGTTCTTTGAATTCAGAAGGTCAAACATGTCAATTCATCAGGGCAGTGCAGATGGCAAAAAAGTCGCAGGTAGTTTAATGGCTTTGATGGTTTATCCATCTTTTTTAATTCAATTAAAAAGTGGCATTTGATCATTTAAAGGCAGGCTTGGAAATGGGTCCTTGTTCTGTTGGAGTTATGTTTGGGTTTTAATCACATAGAAGTTTTGCAAAGGATCTAATTGAAGAAAGCTTTAGCATAATTGAATGTGTGTAATGAGCATTGGGGTTTGATGAGTGTTTTATATGTAGATTAAAGCTGAAGGCTACCGTTATATAATTTTCCCAAACGCTAAAGTTCAATACTAACACTATGTTTGGTTCAAGGAATTTAAAATGGAAAACCAAAGGAAATGAGAGGAAAACACTTTTTTTATGTTTCGTTAGAGAGAAAAAGAAATGAAAAGTTGATGAAAAGAATATAAGAATGCAAAATGTACTAAGAGGAAAAACCAGATTACTCCCATTTTTGTGAGGAAAATGAGGTATAACCATTTCCTTTTCTTTTCCTACAAAATTCTTTGAACCAAACATAGTGTAAAGTTAAAACCAAACGGATTTAAATTAGAGAATTGAAGACTTTCGTAGAGTTAATATCAATTTTTACTTTTAAAGACTTATGATATTCTTTTGAGTTTGGCATAATCTTGTTTCCTGGTATGTATCACATATGAAGTTTGTTCCTTTTTTGGCTACTTAAGTTGACATTACAGTACAAAAAGACTTCTTTTTTTATGTCATAAATGTAGCATCTGTTTATTGGTTTGATGTAGGCTCCTGTCTCTATGAACTTCTACAGTTGGAAGTCAGTCCAAGTTTTCACCGTCAGCTAGAAATGCGCGACCGTTCTTTAAGTATGTCATCCATCACATCACCTCTTTTCAGTTATGTTTAATGTCCTACAAAGTTTGGGATGTTTGTGTTGAATCTCTTTACCCACATATTGTTTTCTTGTAAAGATTGAATTTTTTTCATTGCTGCTTCGGTTTTACCCCTTTCTATCAGGTCCCCGGCTTAGATTGCAGGCTTTGATGAAAGAGCCCGGAAACAAATATTGTGCAGATTGTGGATCTCCAGATCCCAAATGGGTGTATGTCTTTCATTGCAATATATAGAGAGAGAGAGTTATTTGATTTTAAGGCTATGCGACTTTTTTTATGCCAAGTTCCCAAAGAAACACCCACAGATACCCCTTCGTGTGTCTATTTCGTGCTTGTTTTTGTAAAAAAAATGACACTCGTAGATTTTCAGGTCGGTGAGTCTTGGCGTGGCTATATGTATCAAGTGCTCCGGTGTACATAGAAGCCTTGGGGTCCACATATCAAAGGTGCAGTTCTTGAAACCAGACATGTATGCTGTTGCTATTATACAAGAACAACAAAAACCCCTGAGTGAAAATCTCACAGAGTGGGGTCTACGGATTGAGTAGTGTGGGTGTACGTAGACTTTGTCCCTTCTTGGAACTAAAAGAGTGGGAGCACAAAATATGCAAACACACACAAACTCATAGATATAACAAAAAAGACTGCAAGTCCTACACAAGGGCAAAACACTACCTAAACCATGCTGTAAGACCCTAATCCAAGACCTCCATAAGCTCTTATCTAAGGTCATATCTGCTAGTGTGGTGAGATTAATAAACACTCCCAAATTTTATGAAGAATGGTTTTTGCAGGTTTTATCAGTGAGCCTTGATGAATGGACAGATGAGTTAGTCGATTCTCTTGTGGAAATGGGCGGAAACGCCATTGCGAACTTGAAGTACGAAGCTGCCCTTCCAGATAACTATAAAAAGCCAAGGCCAGACTCGTCCAATGAAGAACGCACCGACTTTATAAGGTACTACTAAAAGATTATAAATCTAATCGATTAACTAACCAGTCAAAGTCCTATAAGACTTGACGTTGCACGTTTTTGGATGGCCAGGAGAAAATATGAGCTGCAACAATTTTTGAACTACGACATAGAGATGATATGCCCTTTTGCATCATCAGCTTCGTCTTACTGTGATTCAATAGCCTATTATTCAAGCAGCGCAACCCCAGAGAGGAAATTCCACTATGAGAAGACACCGAGTGGTCATAGGAGCCACGGTAGTGGATTCAAGCATGCTTTTCGCCACAGTCGGAGGAGGAAAGAATCTGAACACCACCAGAAGAGTAGTAGGAAAAGTAGCTCTATGGTAATAAGAAAAAGATATGCCACATTCATTCATTAGCATAATGCAAGCATTCATTCTACTTGTTGCCATTTTGGGAAGCCATGATTGACCGTGCGCTGCCATTTTCGACAGGCGGGTATGGTCGAGTTCATCGGGCTCGTCTCTGTCAATGTTGTCCGTGGGACCCACCTCGCCGTTCGGGATGTAGTAACGAGTGACCCTTATGTTATTCTGTCATTGGGGACTCAGGTAAACTGACCATTTCTATCATTTGGTAGCTTTCCAAGCCTACTAAGACTGGTTCCTATATAGGAAGTATATAATAGAGTATCCTTCTTATTATTTGAATAGTACAATTCTCTCTCGTGCAGTCGGTGAAGACACGGGTGATAAAAAACAATCTAAACCCGGTGTGGAATGAGAAGCTCATGCTGTCAATCCCAGACAACATTCCTCCTCTAAAAGTGGTAAGAATCATTTCGCGCGCTTAAATGTTTTGAATGTTACAACATTAACAACAACCCCAGTAAAATCCTGCAAAATCTAGGGTCTGGGAAGATTGTGTGTAGAGAGGCTGTTTTCAAAAGACTTTTGGCTCAAATGAAAATTTAGACCTTACCCGAACTAATGGTGGTGCTTATATACCTGAGAAAAGGACTAAACTAGGAGTAAAATATGGAAAATGTATCAAAATAGGAGCTCCATGTTTTTTATCCCAAAATAGGAGTGCAATGTCAATAATGCCAATATATAATGCCAAAAAATATAGTGGGATGCCACTATACAGTGTCATAATATCATAGTGCAAAATTCTAAATTCTATTTTGAGGATAAATGCTACTCCCTCCGTCCCGTTTTAAATCGCTCGTTTTGACTTTTGGTCATATTTAAGGAAAAGAAAAAATAAAGTTGATTTTCCAAAATTGCAATTACTTTTTAGGAAGGATGACAGTGAATGGGAAGATAATGTGGAGAAGAGTGACTTATTTTAGGGGTAGTTTAGGTATTTTACTATTAAAAGTTTACGAAAACAAGTAACAACTTATTTTAGGACGGAGAAAAAAAGGCAAACAGACAATTTAAAATGGGACAGAGGGAGTACTATGTTTTATTCTTATTTGGGATAATTTCTTTATATACATGCAGCTAGTGTACGACAAAGACACGTTCACGACGGACGATTTCATGGGGGACGCCGAAATCGACATCCAACCACTCGTGGTGGCTGCAAAGGCATCGGAGAGCTCATCGTCATCAGCAGGAGGGCTCGACGAGGCCACTCACCTTGGGAAATGGGAGGCGAGCAAGGAGAACACGTTGTTGAAAGACAGCATTATAAAGCTTGTGGAGGGGAAGGTGAAACAAGACATATCTATAAGGCTGCAGAATGTTGAGAGGGGCGTGCTCGAGATCGAGCTCGAATGCGTTCCCCTCACCCAATAGAAATCCTTCCCGCCTTTTTTTTGGTCTCGAATGTGAAGTTTGATGGAAAAAAGTTTATTTTTTCAATGCTTGAAATGGAATTTCTCAACGGGGTTCAGAATTCATATTCTTTTTGTAAACAATACTTGTAGCTGATGAAGACACCATCTTTGTTGCTTGAAATCCCTTAGACTAATCAAAGAATATGTTCTATCCAATTGATGAAAATTCAGAGCTATTGAGCAAATGTTTCTCACATCAAAGCAACCAAGCCAAGGACATGTTCTTTATATGAAAAAAAAGGTGATTAATCTCAACTTTTGGAGATCCAATTTGTTGGGGTTGGCTTTGGGACAAGCTCTCATAGGTTTGCTTTAGGTCCATTTTCTTCTCTCCAACAAAATTTGAATCTTTACATAATACTCCATAAATATGATAGAGTCACACACACAAAAGTCACAAAATACATCATCTTATGTGTACCTCTTCAAAAAAAACAGAATGATTTTAAATAATTAAAAAGTAAAAATTTAAATACACAGAAAGCAAGTTTGTATATTTTGTGACGCATGTATTCAAGAACGGATCCGTTTCATACTAGTTGGGGGGCATGGAGACCTAGCGCTTTAATTTTTTTCATGTGTTAGAATTTAATCTTTTAAATTTTTTAAGAGTTATATATAAGTTAGGACCCTAATTAAAAATATTAGGAACTCCAATTAAAAATATTAAAGACCTCAATTAATAGTGTTAAGTAAGAAAAAAATGAGAAATGTTAATTATTTAAATATTAAAAGTGAAATATTTAAAAATTACAAAAATAAAATCTAATATGATCCTTAGGGTTATGCTTATTCTATAGACATTCACACATAAAATAGTTTTATATATAAATAAGAAGATCCGATTGCAAGCTCATGAAATTATATGTGAGAAAAGCAAAATACACAAACTTGCTCTTAGGAGTTAGGACCACAATAGAATAACTAATTTAAATTTTGTTATCTTTTACCAATAGTAAAGTTGTGTCTTTTGTGACCTTTATATTTGTGACTCTGGTATTTTTGAAGAAACAATAAGAATGTTTGACATTTGTTATACTCTAGGAAAAGCGTTTATTTTGAATTTGATCTAAGAATTCAAAAACATGTTAGAGACTGCTCTGAACTCTACTTCTCTATCACTTTTTTTAAGAAGGAAAATCAATTACCAAAAAAACTACTCTCTTCGTCCCTAAATCACTATTTTTTTTAAAAAAAAGGAAAATCAATTAACAAAAGTACTACTCCCTTCTCCCTAAAAAAATTACAAATTGTGCAAAAAGAAGAAAAGATCTTTTTTAATTCATTTTATTTAAAGATTGTCATTGAAATAAAAAAAATAACACTTGAATATTTAAAAAGTACATAAAAAGTACTACAAAATAAGAGTGACAAGAATATTTTATTTTTTTCAAATGAAAATGTACAAACAAATAAAAATTATCATGATTTTAAAATAATGCACATTGTAATCAATTGTGAGGTAGAGGTAGTATCAAACATCATCAATTTATTTACGCAGAAGTTGAGAATCTCTTGGTCCGAGAGTGTTTGTAAAGTTTTGATGGAGTAAACAAATATCAACCTAAATGAGTTTTGTAACTGCGTTCAACTCATTCACTCACTGAGATGAATTTGACCTATAATTAATTAAAAATTAGTACGTACATAGTATATGGTATACTCTCTCAATCCTCAAATATTCATTCTGTTTTAAATTTCTCTAATCAATCAAGATCAATCTTTGACATATAATTAAATAAAAATGATATGGTATGCTAATTAAAAAATAATATTTTCAAAATATTTTACAAGATAAATCTAATAAAATTATTTTTATTCAAAATATAATACCAATTTTATTTGATCAATGGTCAAAATTATTAAATATTATCATAAAAAGTCAAAACAAACCAAACACACCGGAACCAAGGTAGTATTAATTAGATAAAATAATATATTAAAAATATTTTATATGATGAATCTAATAAAATTAACATTATATAAATATCTTATATCAATTTTATTTACTCTGTATGCAAAAATAGTCAAAATTTATTAATTTTTACCGCATAAAATTAATATTGGACAAACACTTTAGAATAGAAATAGTAATTACACCCTCCGTCCCATTTTAAAGTCTTGTCCTTTTGGGTTAGAATTTCAATGTTTGATGTTGGAAGAAACTGGAAAATGTTAAAATGTTGAAAAAATTAAAATGTTAAAAAATTACTTAAATTATCACCCAAATAAATATGTAAGAAATTTTAATTTTGGATTAAAAAAATTCAGCCTTGTATATGTTTGAGGTGGTATGTTTTAAATTTAGATATATAATGTTATTGTATACTCGTCATATATAAATATCTTTTTAAGTATTTTTTTGGAGAAAACTGAGAAGAGTTACAAGGAACTGAAAGAAGTTAGACTAAAAGGATTGGAAGTTAATTTTTCTAACCAATAGAATATGGCCTAAGTTACCTATTGTTATTTATAATATTTGACTAAAGTTATTTCAAAATAAATTTATATGACATTTTTTTCAAAAATTGTAACTAAACAATACACTTCATGAGTAAGAAACTAAGAATGCATAAAATATTTGTGCACGAATTTTTTAATTACGTCAATTGTTTGTCATAAATAATAAATAAAAAATCAAAGCGTCAAAGTATTATTGAATGATTTGGCATTATTATGACATGATATCATCCCGTTGCCGAACGACATGATACCGAATGGGTTTAGACGTAAAACCGAAACTGTACGAAAACGTTTGAATAGTGACAGTATGGTACGGGTTCTTTAAAAATACCAAGCCGTCATAGACCGTGTCCACTCCTACTACAAAACAAAAGGCTACATGATTATATAATTTTATCAAATAAGTAACGAATATAAATAAAAAATAATTAAAGCTTAACTATGTAAATTGTAAACATACAACTTAAATACCAAGGGGAAATGACCCAATTTTGTGGTCGAATTTGAAAGGTAGAGATTATATTGTTTGCTTTTGAATTTGAGCAGCAAAAGTGTTGAAAAGAAAAACGCCAAATTAACAGATTGCAGTTCCAGACATGGAGGTCCAAGGCTCCCCCATTCAGCCGTCCAAAGCAAAAAAAAAAAAAAACAAACACTAATATTTCCAATTCATCATTCAAAAGATTGCAGGTGCCTCAGATGCATCCCATCATGCTAAAATGTAAAGAGATGATGACAAGCACAGAAAGTTAATAAATTTCCAAGATTTCTTTTCTTTGTTTGCACTTGGGGCAGAAACAAACAAGCCACAAAGTTGCCAGTTCTGCTGCATTCTTTGATCAGATTTTACAGCTCTAACATAGTAGTGAGTAGTAGTTTTTACAAGTAGGGCCTCCCATTGCCAATAGGGCTAAAAGTGTCTTTTTATTGTTTTTAGAGAATGTTGAGATTATATTGTGTTCTTTTGACTTGTTCATTTGGCTGAAATGCATTTGACCAAACTATGGAGTTAAAATAGACTTACCCTCAGCAAATTCAGCAAAATAACTTGGATGTGAAGCATATAAATAACACACACACACACAAAAGTGCCTTTTTTTAAAACCCTTTCTTTATTATTTTTCTTTCTTGAACAGCCTTTCATCATCTATATAAGCTGCAGAGGATAAGCAGCAGAAGCAAACAGCATCCTTTATAACCCTTATAGACCAAAGTGCCACTCCCACATATAAGTGGCACTTAACAACAAGTTGTCACCCACAAAGCAATATGTACATTATATTGGCATATAACCATACCACAATAATCACTGATGATGCAAAGGCTATTCAATTATAACCATACCAAAACAGGATGAAAAAAAAAAAAAAAGAAAACGAACCGGTACGCCATAATGTATAACGAAACATGATCATCAATGGCAGCAGAGAGGACACCGAACCAGACCGTTCTCATTGCACTCCGAACACTTCCTTAACTGCCCCTCTTTCTCATCAAACAGTTTCCTACTCCCATTGCAATTGGAGCAAGGAATGAATCTTGCGTCCCCGCAGCCCTCACAGACGTATCCGGGAGGGCGAAGGGGAAGCCCTCTAAGCAATTTGACCAACTCTCCGGCCTCATTCAATTGCTTTATGGCTTCGGCGCCCCCAATGCGCTTCCCTTTGATGAAAACCTGAGGGAGTGTCAAATTCTTCTCCCCAATCACACTCTGCAATTCCTTCTTGTAAGCAATGTCCATGGATATGTCCCTCTCATCCAGATTCACTCTGTAGCTCTTGAGGATCATCCTGACCCTGTAACAATCGTCGAATGTCCTCCGGATTCCCCGGAGACTTGTGAAGTAAATTACCACCCTGTCCTCCGTCCCCGGCAACCAATCTGAGCTTTTTGACTTCACGGCCGGAGGTGGAGAGGGAGGAGAGCTCAGGCGAGGGTTCCTCTTGTTCTCGAATAAAGAACACAGCTTTTTCACCTTACCCTTCAATGAATTCCCGGCGACGGTGACCAGGGTTTCTAAATCGGACGATCCCTGAAACGGCTGCCTGAAAGACCCCGTCCGTTCGACGGAGGGTTTCACGGCGGCCGATCCGCCGCCGTGATGTACCGTCACGGACCGATTGAGATGCGGAGAACCCTTGGCCTTAGGGTTCTGAAAGTCGTCATCCCTGTAAGCCATCGATGGACTTCAATTGCAAAATCGCTACGGAGAAATCAAGATCAAGAAAATCCGACGGAACCCCAAGAAAGAAAATCGCTACCGTTCAGGCGATAACGGCGGCGGCGAGCGTGCACAGCTGATTTACGGAGGCGTGGACTGAAAGCAAATTCTTGGATCAAGAAAAAGAAAGAATTTGAAATGAAGAGAAAGAGGGCACAATGAAGCCTTTTTTGAAAGGGTGGTTGTGGTGGTCGCGGCGGTGGGGTCGGTTTCGACGCCGACTATGAATTTGTCATTTACCCACGGCTTTTTTTACAGAGGAAAGAAAAGATTTAAAAGGAAAATGGTTAAAAACGTGATTCGGTCGAGCACTAAAGGAATGATTAATAAAAATGGTTAGTCCGCACATTACAATGTTAATGACATAAAAGGAAGATGTTTTTGAGCCAGCAGCGGGTATTTACATTGGTCAAATACATAAAATCTCTCTTGTAGTGCAATTAATAGGAATCAAATTCGGATATTACATCCTCCAGAGTTAAAGGCATAAGATGATTGATTGGTGATGGAAACCGTTCTTTCGGGACGTCGACCCAACGAACTCGGTATTGAGTCGACACCGCATCGAAAAGTGAAATCCGGTAAATGAAAGAATAAATAAAGCAGAGAGAAAGTATTTATACGTAAAACCCAAATCGAGAGAAAAATCAAGGGCCTTTTTAGGTGGTGTCATGCCAAGAGGATAAACTTTTATTAATCTCGGTAGATATTCATATACATCACTCTTGAGATTTAGAGCTATAAATGAAACTTTTAAACTCATAGAGAAGAAGGAAGATGAATAATAATATTAGTAGTAGTAGGAGCTTCAAAAATTGGCCTCCCACACTTTCTCTCGTGTCTCTTCTTATAATAGGAGGAAGGAATGACGTAGGGGGAGACAAGGGATTATGTCTGGGTCCTGCCAAATATATTATTGGGCCCTTGTCAATATTTATATATCTCATCAAATTATTTTCTTCGTCTTCATATCTCAGACTCCGTGTTGAATGAAGTATATAACTTATATTTTGGGCAGGACAGAATTGAGCTTGCTACTCTTACTATTCAAATAATATTGGATTGGATAAAATCTTTAATTCATCACATGCTACCCTAGTTTTGAAACTGTTTTGGGGAACGGGACGGATTCACAAAGTATATGACTCGGTGGGTTGCCTCATGGAGTATAACTTTTCTCAACACCTTGGGGAGAAAGCTTTCTTTTTTGGAGGGTCTTGTTACATCGTGGGTGAGGATATTTGGCGTCTCTTGGAAGAGGATTTTGTGTCTCGTGGAAGAGGACTTTTCTCGGGATTTGGTGCCTCTTGGAAGAGGACTTAATGCCTCATGGAAGAGGACTTTTTCGGAGCTCGGTGCCTCTTGGAAGAGGACCTTTCTTGAGACTCAATGCCTCTTGGAAGAGGACTTTACTTTAATTTCCTTTACTTTTCTTTAGTGCCCCAGGAAAAGGATTTGGTGCCTCATGGAAGAGGACTTTTCTCGGAGCTTGGTGCCTCTTGGAAGAGGACTTTTCTCAGGGTTTAGTGCCTCATAGAAGATGACTTTTCTCAGGGATTGGTGTCTCTTGGAAAAAGACTTTTCTCAGGAATTTGTGCCTCTTGTAAGAGGGCTTTTCTCGGGGATTTGTTGCCTCTTGAAAGATGACTTTTCTTGGAAATTCGTGCCTCTTGGAAAAGAGCTTTTCTCAGAAATTTGTTACCTCTTGGAATAGGACTTTCCTCAGGAATTTGTTCCTCTTGGAAGAGAACTTTTCTCGGGGCTCACTTTTCAATATTCTTTAAGAGCCTCTAAACCGCCACCCGATATCTATCTCGCTTGAATTAAAAAAATTTGGGTCCCGCAAATAAATTCTGGGGCCCTTGTCAATATTCATATATCTCATCAAAGTATCTTTTTCGTCTTCATATCTCTCTTTCCGTCTTGAATAAAATATATGACTTATATTTTGGGCCGGACCGAACTGAACTTACTCTTACTATTCAAATAATATTGGATTAGATAAAATCTCTAATCCATCGATTGGTATATCGTGTGTTGGGTAGTAGAAGTTTTAACTATATAGCTTTGCTTTAATTACAATTTCGTTAATTAGTTACTCAGTGATTCTTTGTACATGTTCATCTCAAAAATATCTTGTGGTTTTATTTATATACCAATTTGTACATAATATAATTTTAAAAATTACACAATTTTACATGACATTTAAATAGGGAATATCTTTTTAGAACAAAGAGAATATTACTCTAACTTTTTAATAATTTTTATGTTTGTCCGTATATTTTCATTAAATATTTTATAAAAATAAAAAAGATATGTCTCTACTTGTTTTTGTAGGATTTTTCATTAGATGTTAATTATATATATTCTATTTTTTTAAATATCAACTTATAAATAAAACTATTTCAAAAAAGATGAGACTAGGCACATTATTTGAAAAGAGAGGATTAATTGCCGAGTACATTTTTAATGCATACTCAGTTTCAACCACGTGTTTGATTAAACATTTTTCATAAAGTTTTTTTATTAAATATCTTTTGATTAAAGTGTTTTTGATTAAATGTCTTTTGATTTAAGTGTTTTTGGATTAAAGACACTAACGACGAAGTGTGTGAATAGTTTTGAATAGTGCAAGTGTGTCAATAATTAGTTCCGCTATAATTTGAAAAGTTAATCATGCTTTTATTATTTCTTCCGTACACACAATTGTGTTTGATAAAAAATCTAAATTTAATTGGACAAAGACGTCTAATTAAACTTTTTATAGAATTCATTGCCCCATTGGGAACTTGATAAAAAACAATGTTAGATTCACAGACAAAATCATCACACAAGTTCACAAATTTACCATTTATAGTTTATATTCTCATTTTAAAATTATTCTAAATTATTTTATTTTTATTGAAGTTCACAAATAGTTTGTTTGTAAGATTTGTGACCATTTTGTGTGTGAACCAAGCATTTCTCGATAAAAAAAACTTATTTTAACACTAAAAGTGTTGCTAAATCCACCCAAAAGTGACTATATCCACAAATTTCATATAAATTTGCTAAATTCACACCAATATTAAAATGTGGATATATCGACTTTAGGAGTGGATATAGAAACACCCTAATATTAATCGAATAAAAGAATCTAATTTATCTTGGGATAGATTTCAAAAACCTAACACTATGTTTGGTTCAAGAAATTTGAGAGAGAAGAAAAAAAATGAGAAGGAAAACATTTTTCTTGTTTGGTTAGAGAGAAAAAGAAAAGAAAGGTGAAAAGAATAGAAAAGAAAATGAGAAGGCAACATTACTAAGAGGAAGGAAAACCAAATTCCTTCCGTTATAGTGAGAAAAATGAAGAAAAGCTATTTTTCTTTTCTTTTCTTTCAAATTACTTGAAGCAAACATAGTGTAAATAAAGATAAAATTATGAATATTTTTTAAGCAGTCTCATGTCAATGGAAAAATATGACTATTATTAGTATTGAGGATTCGAGTGTATTTATAAAGTACATATCAGGGGAGGCATATAGTACACTTGAGATTTTTTGAACCCTCAAAATATTTATATATCTCTCCAAATATTTTTCTTTGTTCATATATCTCTATCTCTATCTTGAATAATTTATCTAATTTATATTTTGGTCGGGCTAAATTGGTGTTTCATGTATTGCTTAAATGTTATTAGGTTAGATTAAAATATTAAATCTCTCATTCCTCGTTTTCATATACAATAAAGTTTTGTCCCACTCAGTGCGTTGGCTACATGTATCGAAGTAATCGAACAATGCCATTGTTTTCTATCATGTATCATATTTCCTGTGAATTCATTCACACGAAGGGCTCCTTGTAAGATCATATATTATACAAAATTAATTTTTGCTTTATGTATAAATTGTTCCAAATAAGTTGGGGGTTACATTTAATTAAACTACACCCCTTCAAAAATAAGATCATTGTTTGATGTTTCACAACCTTCGATGTAACACTAATATCTATATTTAGACATAATAAATCCTATAAAAAATATATGATATTTTAATATTACATTTCAAGACAAACTGAATAAAAATATATAATATTGTATCTCAATGTATTCTTCCCAATATTTGTGCTCAAATTTATCAATTTCGACCTCAAAATTATTCAATATCCAATTATTATCAAATTGTATTATGGTATCGGAGCTAATTGAGGTCTCTATTCTCAATAATCTAGCTTCCCTTCTTTTAGGGCCGTGTGCCAACGCTGGTCTTCATCATCGACGGTTGACTGCCATAAATCATGGTCTCTCCAATCCGTGCCTTCTATCCCTCACTTTCCCTCAAAAAAATTATATATGAGTGTGTTTAACCGCCGTTGTTCCTTATTCCTCTCTTTGTCCAAAAAAATTGTGCGTCATTGAAAAACTGGAAACTTGTATTTGTCTGTATCTCTTCTAGAGCTCGAGAGCATGGTAAGCATTCCTAAGCAATAGAGAAGCACATAGCTAGTGGTCCACAATGACAAAAAAAGAAACCTTTTGTCCTCGCTCCAATCGCCAACACTTTTAGAAAAACTCTATAGACGTACTCTCAACCTCGTTCGTCATGCATCGAAGATCTGCCTCTACTTCTAATGGTTATCCTCACAAAACTGTTTCTGCCGACTTCATTCAAGTACTTGTGCTCCAAGGTGATCCTCATTACAGTCAATCAGCTTGCGAGAGATACTAGGAATAATATAGATAATGAGAAATAAAATATTATCATTATTTATTTTCCTTATTCTATTATTATCATAATTTCTTATTCTACTTTAATCATGATTCTCCATTTATTCTCCAAACTGTCTGTGTGTATCTGTGAGAAGAGTGGTATACACCTAGGGTACTCCTACGCAAATAAATACTACGTTGAAGAGCATTTTATGTTTTTTGCACACAAAAAACACTTATGGCCTACAAAAATCAGTATAAGTACTACAACAACTATTTGGAAATAATTAAATTTTTCTAACATTTTTCATAAGCAATTAATATAATATCAAAACAACTAACTCAACCACATATTCAACTAACACAAACAGTTATAGGGTAATAGTAAAGTGCCATTTCTAAACAATGCCACTATCTCAAATAATGCCCTTCTTGAGTAGTTATGAGTAGCCTATGTTTTTTTTCTGTGCAAGAAGTGATAAGTAATGTAGTTGATTTGGTAAAAGAAAATCGCTTTCAAATACTGCCTCCATTTCAAATAAAAGTTTTACTATGGACTTAGAACAGAGATTAAAAAAAATATAATTATGTGATTACAAAACAATGCAGAGGAAAGAGAAATAGAAATTTAAAGATTACAATTTTCTTACTAAAGCATTAAAGTACATAGAGGAGTGAAGTAGTGAGGAAGAATTTAATATCAATGAATGCTTGAGTGAAAAACATTAGGGTACCGTTTGGCATCAGCATTAGAAATTAGCGTTAGCATTTTGAGAATTAATCTACACCACTAAAATTTTATCCAAATCGCTAATGCTAATTGAAAACGCTCTTACCAAACAAGTCATAAGCCAAAAAAAGACACTAATCCACGTTTATGTCACCATTTCCTTAGACATATTGAAAGATAAACAGTTTAACACACACATGTCTCCTTTTGTTAACACAAAAGATCTTTTTGACCTCCTCCAGAGCACTATTTGTTGATGAAGAGAATGAATGCTAACATACACATGTATTGCATTGTACAGATTCTTTTCCATAATAATAATAATTCAGCCATGTCTTTTTTTTTACGAAAAGAAAATCAATTTCAAGCCATTACTTCCATCAGATCTCGGGCAATGCGGACCCAGAATCAAGGCCAAAGAAATGCCAACTGCAACCGAGGAAAGCCTGCTGCAGACAATCGTCTTCTGAACAAGTGATTCCCAACTCTTTGGAGAACTTCCTTGCAGCCAAGATATGCTTCCTTGAGTTGGCAGAATAAGTGTTGTTGCATATCGATGTATGATGCTCATATTCCTCAAAACTGTTCCCAAACAGAATGATGTGACTCAGGAGATCAGCCCTCCAGTTTGCATGCAGCAGGTTGTCATACAGCTCTGCCTCGCAATGTGGCATGAAGAACAGTGTGGGTTTTGCAGCTTCCCGTCTGCCATTCTCATTTATAGACAGAACAGAACACCCAAGTGATGTCAGCACCCTAGATTCTGTTAGGGTTATGATGGGATCGAATATCTCCATATCGCCGATCCAACTAAGCTCCCTCTTCATCAAGATGGCAAGACTGAGCTGTAATCTGGGGGATTCAAATGATTCTATGCTGCCAATGCCGTATATCACCATGCACACCTTTGTTTCAGACCCTAAAACCTGGTTGATCCTATCTGAAGTTTCACCAGTTTGTAATTGGTTCAGGAAGGTTTGCCAAAAGCAGGAGTTTTCTAGTCTTTGGATGCATGTTTGAATCTTTTGCACCAACTTTGCTTCAGTTGCTGGGTCTGTTTCGCAATCCTGTGGTGTCCAAGGTTGTTTTTTATTTTGTTCTTCAGAAGAGGAAACTGCTTCACAAGCAATCTTTTTTAGCCTTGCACTGCGAGGCATAACAACGGTCCAGCCTTCAGTTGGAGCTTGGTGGTTCTCAAGACTGCATGTTTTTGCACCTCCGGCCATAATTTCTTGGATTTTCAGTGGTGCAGTTCGTGCATCAAGAATGTCAACTTTCAAAGAACCTAACTTGAAAATGTGAAAAAAAAATCATCATTTAATGGCTGCAGATATACTTAAAATTGCATGCCAGATATTTTGAAAAGGGAAAGAAAACATGGGTATAATTTTTTTGTTAAATGATGAACACACTTTTATACTGCATTGTTTATCCTGAAGAGAGAATTTAACACTAATCTTTTTTGAAGTTGAAAGCCCCCATATTTTTTCGTGACATTTTTGGCCACTTTTTATCGCAAGCCATTTAAATCTTGATTTTATGTCGGAGGCCATTTGCTCTAGTATCTATATCCCAACTTCTCAACTGCATCTCATATTTCCCTTCAGTTGATTGTATCTCTTTTATAGAATTGCCATATGCCAAATGATTAAATAAAGTATTTCAATGACATAAGAAAAATAATAATCACCAAAAATGAAAAAGAGAAATTAAGACCTAAAAATCACATGTAAACACTTTTCAGGAAAACTAAAAAAGAAGAAGGATAGCATAAATGTGAAAAAATTGAATCCCCAGCCAAACCAAGCACACATAGTATATCCCACTAAAAAGCAAGGTATCAGAAAAGATGAATGCAAACCCTGCCTCTTCTCAAAAGGAGTGGGGAGGCAAGCGTGCTCAAATTGAATTTGATGACCCAAAATAAGGAAATGAATGAGAACTGTACAGCTAGATATACAACACACAGAACAATTATGAGGAATTATTTTTTGCTCAAAGAGAAATTGGCTTTTGGCTTTTATTTCTTTTTATAAAATTTTCAAATACATAAAAAATTGCGTTATTGTTCAGGCATCCATGGGAGGATATGAAGAGCTAGAGATATTTTATTTGTTAGAAGAACAAAGGCCTGTAAACTGTCCAAATCAACACAGGAGGCTTAGCAGCAACCTCCGGAATAATGGGTCTTCATTGAACTGCGCAGAAGTCTTATAGTTTGTTATCGGGTGCGGAGGAGAGTAAGTGATGGACATGTAGAGTGCAAGTTATTGAAGGAGAAAGAATGGAAGTGTTGAACTAACTACTATTTTCCCTTGTTTGGTGAGTAAAAAAAGGAAGTGCTTCTAAAGGATGTGTTACCACTAAAATTGATTTTTTTAAAAAAAACCTACAAGAAACATGAGGAGTTGAGAGATAGTGCAGAGATTATTTAGAAAGAAATCCCCAACAGTTTACGGCAAAGAATTTAATAATAAGTTGGGCTTAAATAATGAAATGACATGTAACATCCCAATTTGTGGTGTTAGATAAAGAAAAGTATGAAATCTTGGGGAGGTTATCCTCATAGCCCCTTACACCAGCCAACACTTGCTAAATCTCCAGTTTTTTTTATTACTCTCCTTGTCTTTTCACAAAAAATGATTAATAGCTACACTCCCTATTCAACACCACATGAAACCCATCCCTAATTTCTCATTTCTCTCATCTTTCTTCAATTATTGCTGAATCAAAGCACTAGTTCCTCCTATAAATGTGTTCCCATATTAAGTTTCTAGGACTGCCAAATGGCTTCTTTCTTGTTAACTTAAACCAAACCCTCATTTTTTTGCAAATCTTAGTTTCCTTAGCTACACGGTACTTGAGGATTATGTCTAGGTTTGTACAGAGTATAACAAACAATTAACCTTTTTGAATGAATTTCATTTAATTCGCATAAATTTTAATATCCCAAAGCGGTAACCAAACTGCAATGTGATAATGCCATCTTTCAAGGAGTCTTGCAGAAGCATATGTCACAGGTCAGATGCACGGAGGAGATGTCTAGACCTCATTTTAATTCAATACAGTGGAAAACAGAACACAATTTCAATTGAATGGATTCTGAGTAGTAAAGTAGTGAAAGGGAAAACAGTAAAGTATTGAATTGAATTTAAGTCCTTGACTAATAATCGAACGAATGAGGTCCAACAACAAGGAAATTCAAGAAATCATGCCGCTTAAAAGGAAGTAACATGCTCCTTAAGAATCTAGTTACTTGCAGTAAGAAAACATACAAAGCAAATGATTTCCAGCACCCTAAAACAGCCATGGATATTCAACCATAAAATTATAATCCAACACAATGAATATCTCAATCACAGCAATCATCTCTGCAAAACGGTATAGAACTAACCTAACGGAATTCGGAATCAGAACTTCGGAGTACTACCGCAGCATGTCAACCTATCCGTTAGTATTTTACATTGACTCCTTTTAGCATAATTCATTGCATATGAACCAGAGATAATAGCTGGGTCAGATCAACACCAGACTGAGCAATCGGAAGAAGCAAACAGATAAGAATCCGGTGACGGAAAGCTTTTTGGTTGGTTTTAATTCGGCAGAAGCGGATGGGGGACATCGACGACGGCTGCGAGAGGGAGCTCTGCCGCGCCCTCAAGCGGCCGCGGTGATGGTCGGAACTTGGAAGTGTTAGAAAAGGGGGTTTGTTCTGAAATCTTTTTGCCATTAGGGTTGCTTTTTGGCATTTGCTAGTGCAAGTGTTTGGGCTGAAATCTAGTATTGATTTATTTTACATGTAGATTTTTATAAGTTTTGGAATTTGATGGTTTTCAAACATTTAAAATTATTTACAAAGAATCATTACATAATTAGTTTTTCTTTAATAAAAAACATAAAAAGTACATAATACTTCTATATGATAAACTCTGACATACATAATACTCCGTAATTAAAAGGTGAAGGCGATAGATAAAAAAAATTGATCTAGAGTTTTAATTGTAATATGTGAGGTTAAACTGTAATATAATACTCCTTTTGTCTCATTCTAAATTGTCTGTTTTCCTTTTTTCTCTGTTCCAAAATTAGTTGTCTGTTTCTTATTATCGTAAACTTTTAAGAGTAAAATACCTAAATTACCCCTAAAATAAGTCACTCTTCTCTACCTTATCTTCTCATTCATCGTCGCCCCTCTAAAAAAGTAATGACAATTTCAAAAAATCAACTCTATTTTTTCTCTTCCTTAAATATGTCCCAAAATCAAAACGGACGATTTAAAACAGGACACAGGAAGTATCTTTTATTATTTGATTAAACTATGAAGACTTGTTCAAATTTTCTATTGTAATTTTCTTGAACAATAGTACAATATTCTAAATGACCTCGACATTGTTCATTTTTTTAAGTAATTTTATTTAGGATAAAATTGAATGGCATGAGAGATGTAAGAAGATCCTTCCCCGCTTTTAAGCCCAAAGACCAAGATAATTTTGTTAGATTAACTCTTCTATATGAGGGACTAAGCAACGATTTTATAGTCATAGGAATCATTTTACAAATGGGTGATTTCCCTGCATGTGTAAACTCATTGCTTTATCTTTCTTTATATGTAAATTTAATATACACTTTCTCAAATACTCCGTAATACTAACCAGAGTTGGCTACTTCGTTTTAGTCTTTATTATTGACTCAAACGGAGTAGCTTAATCCGTGTCATTCATTTAATTATTAAACGGAGTTGCCTACTCTGTTTACCTATTTGTTCCAAATTTGTTCCCACTTTAATCTTCCAAATGGAGTTTCTTGCTTGTTCCAAATTTTTTTGTTCCAATTTTTTTTGTTTGATTTTTTTTCTTCAAATGTTTCGTTCCAATTACAATTTTCTTAATGTTTGTTTTTTGTTTCAATTTTTTTGCTTTAAACCTTTCTATCTTTTTTTTAAAAATATTTTATTAAATATTACTCCCTCAGCTCCATCCCTATTTTGATTACAAATTGCAGGTTACGGAGTAAAATTTCCTACTTTTTGAAATCATTTTATTTACGAATTGGTATATCAATAAGATATAAAAATTACATATTAAAAAACTACGTCAAAAGTTCTACAAAACAAGAAGTGACAAGAATATTTTATTTTATCAAATACTTAATAAAATCGCGTAAACAAACAAAAGTTATCGAGAAGAGAGAAAAAAAATTGTAATCTATTTAAGGACGGTGGAAGTATTATAATTTTTAGTTTCTCAAAGAAATCGATTAATTTTTGTTACTTAGAAATTATTTATAATAAAATAATTTATTAAAATAATTTAATTACAAAATAAAGGAAACATACATAAAGAAAATATAGATGTAAAAAAATCTACTACGAACAATATAAAAATACAATAACTTTATTGCTAGGGTACATATAACAATTTATATTTTCTTTATGTATGTTTCAATGACATAACAGTTTATATAACAATCCTCTTTTTATATGTACTCTAGCAATAAAGTTATCTTATTTTTATATTGTTCGTAGTAGATTTTTTTTTACCTCTATATTTTCTTTATGTATGTTTCCTTTATTTTGCAATTAAATTATTTTAATAAATTATTTTATTATAAATAATTTCTAAGTTACAAAAATTAATCGATTTCTTTGAGAAACTAAAAATTATAATACTTCCTCCGTCCTTAAATAGATTACAATTTTTTTTTCTCTCCTCTCGATAACTTTTGTTTGTTTACGCGATTTCATTAAGTATTTGATAAAATAAAATATTCTTGTCACCTCTTGTTCTGTAGAACTTTTGACGTAGTTTTTTAATATGTAATTTTTATATCTTATTGATATACCAATTCGTAAATAAAATGATTTCAAAAAGTAGAAAATTTTACTCCGTAACCCGCAATTTGTAATCAAAATGGGGACGGAGGGAGTAATATTTAATAAATATTTTTAAAAAAAGATAGAAAGGTTTAAAGCAAAAAAAATTGAAACAAAAAACAAACATTAAGAAAATTGTAATTGGAACGAAACATTTGAAGAAAAAATATCGAACAAAAAAAATTGGAACAAAAAAATTTGGAACAAGCAAGAAACTCCATTTGGAAGATTAAAGTGGGAACAAATTTGGAACAAATAGGTAAACGGAGTAGCCTATTCCATTTGAGTATAAAATTTTCGAGTAGAAACGGAGTTGCCTAATCCGTATTGCACTGCTAGGGAAAAATTATCTGACTTACACTGTCAGGAATGATTTATTTTTTTTACATTTGTTGGTCGTTTGTTCTCATTTTACAACTTTTAAAAATTAGAATACTATTTACCCAGTTCTGGAAGACCATAAATACTACTCCCTCTATCCCAATTTAAATCGTCTGCTTGAGATACAGGATAGAATTAAAATTTACATATTTAAAAAATGCATCAAAAGATTTACAAAATTAACAGTAACACGATTATATTATTTTATCAAAAAACTAACAAAAAAGGGAAAAAGAATGAACAAAATTTGACTCTTTGAATAATAAACAGACAATTTAACTTAGGAAAGAGGGAGTATTTATGCATACAACTCATAAAAATTTATGACTTCTAGAAAATGTTAAAGATGAAAAGTTACTCATTCCTTAACTATTTTAGCATTACCATAACTCTTATTTTCTTGTTTTAATTAATTATTTGATAAAATAAAATATTCTTATCACATTTTATTTTGTAAATTTTAAACATGTGAGTACATAAAATTTCTTTTTTTATTTATGCAGAAATTTTTAAATAAACGATTTTCAAAAAAAAAAAAAAAAGAGGATTTGCCTTGCAACTCCCTCAGTTTAACTAAATTAGGAACGATGGAAGTGTTAAAAATTTTTGAAAAAAGTGGGTCACATATTTTGTTTTATTTTCAAAATGCAATGCAAAATGATCAAAAGACAGGGGAAAAGGAGATACGAAATTGAAAAGCAAGCATAAGTCCATAATAAGCATAATGAAGTCAAGCACTTTGTAAATAAATATGATATCATATACTCCCTCTGTCCCATAAAACCTTTCTTCTTTCTTTTTTTATCCGTCCCACAAAACATTTCTCATTTCTATTAAAAAGTCACTTTTACCCCTTACTTTTTCATACCCTAACTATCACATCATATCTTTTTACTAATAATCTATCCATCAAATCATACTTTTACTCATCACATCAAAGGACATTTTTGAAAATTCAATGCCAAAATACACTCCCCTTAAATCCCTCCTAAAAAGCAAAAGTCCCATGTTTCACGGGACGGAAGGAGTATTTGGTATGCTAGAAACTATAATTAGGAAGAATAATTTCAAGAATATTGAGGACATAATCTTAAGAGAGTGGGGTTATTTGTTTTTTTTTTTTTTTTTGAAGTGGGGATCTATTATTATATATTAGTAATAATGTTCATCACTTGCGCAAAATATAGGTAGTACAAAACTATATGATAAAGTGAGGAGTAGAAAACCTTTTCAGGTTTTGTGACATGTAGACTTTGGAAACAAGGTTATAAAAGCAGCTACAAAGGATCAATTAATCCAGAAGTAGAGGATTCTTAAGGGTCATCTCAAGAAGCTTAGTAAGAACAAATTTTAGCAAATGACTCAAAAACTTAAGAATGATCTCTCTAGTGGGAAACCCCAATTTGTGTTGGGGTGAGGGGGCTAGGGGTAGGGGGAAAGGTTAGAGAGGATAGTAACCATTTTCGCGCCCAACAGATCTCCGTAGGTGCCTAAATGGACCAATGTCATAATATTACATTGGTGGGCAATGTCAAAAGAATCAGACCCTTAATCAAATTGCAATTGCACCCAAAAAAAATTAAAAATTAAAAAAAATACAAACACATGATACAGGGATTTGGAACTAAAAGGCCGGTGTGCATAGTTTGCAACTGTAACGTTCTCAAAGGAAACGCCCTATAGAACTACCACAGCTATTGCTACTAGATATGTTTGATTAAGACTGTTCCTATTGATGCCCTTGGCCGTGCGGATGGGGTCCCGGAGGTAATGGTGGTGGCATACCTGACTGCATCCCGAAGTTGGAGGGCATAGACTGCTGCAATAAGAACAAACAGGAACACATAATCCCCATATAATATGTCGAGATATAATTACAATTGTAAGACATAATCAACAAAACACAGAGTACATGATTCCCTATCACGACAAGTTATTCTGGTTCAAATTGTTCAGTGTCTGGTATGTTTTCATTATTGACAGAATTATTAAGTTTCCTGTGTCTTTTAGGAGTTTGTTTTCAGCAGAGTTTACTTTTTATATTCCCCATTAGTTTAGGATTTGTTATTCATAAAACTATATATACTTCGTATTGCTATTGGAAGACCAGTTTGAATAAATGATTTTCCTTCTTCAATACTCCTCTCTTGGAGATCAGTTTCTGTATGTTTCTTGGATTAGGAATTGATTCACTCTAGCACTCTCATTTCAGACACTCGGCTGTGTTTGGTTGATAGTTATGGCTTATTCTGGTTACCAGTAGAATTATCCATAATCATCAGAATAAGAATTAGTTGTTGACTTATTTGGCTGAAATGCTGTATCAAACATTTTGCCTTCCGAAATATTACGCAAAATCAGCCATTTCAATAAAATCACCCTTAAAAACAGGCAAACTGTGTTGTTACTTGTTAGCGAAAGAATGTCCTGGTTATGTGGATGTTTACTATGAAAGCACTCGACACTCGACTCACAGTTACACAATGAGTGAATCCCTCCAAATAATAAGAGGACTAGCTAGA